TTAAACAAATAAACGTATACGTTAATGGCAAAATGAACTCAAACCATATTTTTTGAATCATAAGTGTAAGTTTATTACACTTATGATTCAAAAAGCATGGTTTGAGTTCATGTTATATCTATCTATATGTTTTGATAACCCGTCACAATCGGGCAGCGTAAGAATATGATAAGAAATTAATGCCATTTATCCAACATATGTCAAAAGCCTTAATAAAAATACCAACAAACGCGATCTGCGGCGATACAAAATGAGCTCAGCCGGCCAATGCATTGCATTTCATAGTTATTTTGCAATCATATTTATCATTTTTAATAAATTATGACATAATATACAAAATTGTGCTTAAAAATTTTGAAATCATTACCTTATGATATAATAGTTATTCTGGTACAAATTTTGTTCAATAATATTATCGTATCAGAGAAATTCATAGTTGACTAATAGCTATTTATGAAGATTTTCAATTATCATTATGATTTATTTTTCTATGTATTCAACAGTATTTCGAAATTCAAAGACGCAAAAAACTGTACAACTTTAGTAATATTCTATTTTTATTTAATTTCATTTGATTAGCCAAAAGTTACGTAGTAGAAATTGTTACCTTAGCAATAGGACTTTCTGTATGCATATTTATATTTGTTTTATGTGTTTGTTTTAATGCAGTAAATTTAATTGAATAAAGTGTATTCATTCATGATTCTACAATTTTGGGTTTAATTATAAATTAAAGCACATTTTATAGATAACGTCAAAATATTTTTTCTGCACTATTTTGATTTCAAGATCATGAGACCATTTAAGCATCAATTCAGTCAAAAAGTAAAAAGGCCTTCATCACTTGATTCAATGCAATGTTTTTTTTTTTCTGAAATTAGTAAATACCCAATGGTCCGTTATTCTATACTGTTTATCTGTTGTCAAATACACACTGTTAGTATAAACAGTATAGAATTTTATAGAATAAAGCAGAGTAATGTGAGTATTGAAATCTTGCTAAATTCAGAACGTTTAATACCTATAGAAAGAGTATTAACAACAAGTTAATAAGCAACGGACTTATTATTGAATTTATATTAAATTGATAAATTAAACATTAGATTGACTGGTTTTAAAAGCGAGTCTCCATTCCAAAAGGTTATAGAAAGTTTTACAGTTGAACATTCACTACTCGGATTGTGGTATTCATTCACTTGTATCACCCACTTCACTACTGTACTGTCATAAAAAAAATAACAGACGAGGAGAGGGAGGATGAGAAAGAGTAGTGTCGAGGTGTCAATGAATAAATGTCGTATTGCGTGGTGTTGAAAAATGAAAGTATCGAAACTTTATAAACATAAATAAGCGAAGCCAAGCATTTTCATTATTTTGTGAAACATTTTGTTCAACCAAAAAACGAACTTATCTCTTCAAAATGTAAGTGCTTAATAATATAACAATAAATATATTTTTTAACATAAGTTTTTTTAGTAGTTAGAGAAGCGATTATTTTGTTACAAAGTAAGGTCAATATTGTGTCTAGGAGTTTCGTGGACCTAGCAACTTTAACTCTCCATCGACGAAACGAACTGGAGGCCAGAACAAATCTTTTTTTAAGAAAATGTGACCAAGCCATCAGTGATATTCAAAAGTTAAAACAGCAGGTACCTCTTACAAACTTTTTTTACCCTCACAATTTTTATTCATTCACATTTTTAACGTAAAAAATTTATAACTTTTACTATTTAAAGTTAGTAATATCTGACTTGTGAAGAATGTATGTTAATTTAGGAAGGTATACTTGTCTACAATAACATATTGCATTGTACCAAATTGAATATTATTTTTGAAGATAAACATTTTTGTTTCCTATGTAACTGGGAAAATTAGTGGAACAATTTTAAAGTGCTTTCATCAATATACCTTTTGTCACTAAGTATGCGTTTACTTGCAGTTTTGCTACCTACTTTTATTATTTACATTTACATAACCTCAAAGTTTTTGTAGCTACAATATTTTATTTACCCTCACAGTAAAAACTTCAAATGCATCAGGTTCCCTAAATTCAAATTCATTTATTTATTAATTTTTATTCTTTTATTTTTCATTTATCTGGAATTATTTATTAAAATATTTGGATTTTGTCAAATTAAAAAAAAAAATAATGATTAGGAGGCAGAAATTTACATGTTTCAAGATATTTCTTAAACAAATGTTAAGTAATGTTTTTTCAGTGTGTCACATATGATCAACCAATTAAAGGACCTAAGTGTGGATTGTCTGAGATCCCTCATCAGCTTGTATTCAGTTCAATAAGTTTAAAAATACTTATTTTTTTTAAGAAATTGGAGTTCAGTAGTAATTATCTGTGGTTGATGACAGATTCTTATTACAGTCAATTTATGAAATAAACATATGTTAATAAATATTAAAGAAGTGATATTTAAAAGTCTTAAATAAATAAGTAAATGTATTGCTTACTTATCCTGTTTATAATTATAAAGAATTTTTACAATCTAGTAAAGATCTTAAATTTTTTTTAGGCTAATAACTTTTCTCTACAACTGAACTGTGAACCGTCTGAATTGAAAGAGAGATTTCTCAAGTGCATGAAGCAACTTGATGAGTACACATACCTGATTACCGACTTCAATTTATCTGTTGGGAAACTTGGTAAGAACTTGACCTTTTTTGAAATAGTTTCAATTTTCAAGTATCTAAATATTAGAGAGGTTGTCCTTGGTTATTGTTCGTTAAAATTTTACAAATATAATAATTACATAAAATACTTCTATTATGTTTTCTGAGATTTGTGCAAAGATGAATAGTAATATATATAATAAATATATTAGACAACATCACATACATTGGTCAGTAGCTAAAGCACTTATATTATTGTAAAACAAAACTATGGGGGTACCACAACACCTCAAACTCGAGACATTAAAACACTTAAACGACCAATAACATAAAAAAAACTCAATAGTTAATTTTCTACATTAATTTAACAATTAATAGAATGTGTGATCTCAGAGATCTTGATACCATCTGAGAGCCAATTGGCCATGTGATGAAGTCAGTTTTAAATTAATGCATTTGATTTTATTGATCAAAATCGAAATAATCTTTATTCCAAAAACTGATTAAAAGTGACTTTTACTTCACCCAGGTTTTTTTGTTCATACCTAAGAAAAAAAAAAGCTTCACCATTACCATGATCACTATACGACCACAAGTTTTACGAGGTATATTTCCACTAAAGATTAATAATAATAATTAGGTATCTTAATTAACTTATTTTTAAACTAAACCAACTAAATTAAATATTTTATTACCCTTTCACTTCTCCAAGTTTACTTACTAGCATAAGATGAAAAATCTCATAACTAGCCGCCATAATTTTATTTTTAATTATCAACTTTCACCAAATAATTATTTGCTTAATGTTTATATCATAGTTCATATTAAATATAACTAAACAGAGTTATTTTAATTAATTAGATTTATGACACTATTTGTGTTTAATATTCACAGGTATCAGTGGTTCCAAAACTTTTCATGATTAGGAGTAACCTATGAACTAATAGGGAAACTGATTTTACCTATCATCTAACACCTTTATTATCTATTTATTTTTAGCTTTAATCATTAATTTTTTTGATACTCCCATAGAATAGTTGATTTTTCCCAGTATTACCCCAAGGCTAATACCACTGCTCTAAATGAAAGATTTTTTGCACTGGTGTGCAGATCAGTCATATTTTAGCTTTACTATGATTATGAAATTTGTGGAAGATTTTTGTTAATTCTGCTATAAATAGTTAACAGTAAATGCAGTTTTCAATTCCTGTTTTTCTGATATCCAATGTTTATTCTTTATTAATCAAATAGGTAATGTGTTTTGTTTACATTAACTTACTCGTAATACAATATCCCAATTTATTTACAGAAGAGTTAAATACATCAGAATATGCACCAGTTCTTGATAATGCAGCAAAGACACCGTTACCTACACCTCGGGTTGGGCCTATCAATCTTATAGATGTGCTCAGTGAGCCGACGCCTTCCACCTCAACGGCATGCCCAAATAACTGCCCATCAGACAAACCCAGGCGAATAAGAGTACCCAAAGAAGACCAGTTGCTTATTGCATTCTCAAGTGCTTCTTCTTCAACTGATAGTGTGCCACAGACAAAATCTGATATGGCGACCAAGGAGGTCCAATGTGAATTGGCTTCTGATATGAACATCTTAACATTGAAAGGTAATACATGGTTTTTTCTGACTTTATTATTTTCTGAATTATATACTCAATTATATTTTTCTGCCTCTCAATACATCTATGAAACTATTATGTATGAAAACATTACGATTTCTTCACAAAAAATATTAGTGTTCATAATCTTAACACAAGAAATAAAAATAAACTTACAGTTCCAAGCTACAGACTTCAAAAAAGCAGAGAATAATTTCTGGGTAAATGCATTGCTATGTTTAATAAAGTTCCACAAAATATAATAAACCCATAAATAAATTTAAAATTAATATAAAGACATATGTGTAAAGGCTATTATAAAGTTGATGATTATGTAAAGGACCGCTATGCATGGAATTAATAGCCTTCTCTCTGTTCTATAACCATTAATTATATGTACCAACCTATGTCCTACAGACTTTAACTTTAATTGCTATAAATTTATAAGCATAAGCCACTAACGAACATTCATAACTTTTTACAACTCCTTTTTTCAATTTTAAACTTTTGTGAAACAGTTTACCTCGAACAACAAACTTGCGATAGATATAGGACAAAACCCTACAATATTTTTTATAAATTATTTGTTTGTTATTATTTATAATTTATGTTTTTTGTCGCTAGTGGTTATTAATCAGGATATATATTTATTTTATTCTTGTTTGTTTCAGCTACTCAATCACCTGTCAGAGACCTAGGCACATGCAACCTTCCAGCTCAGAAAGTGCTGTCGACTGAACACCTTTACCAAGCCACCATCATGAGCATAGACGAGGCATCCTTTTGGGTCATCACCGATAACGTAGAAGAAGTTTGTGGGTGTGTACATATTTGCGTGTGCAGTGACTTGTGTAAATAAAATTAGGATAGGCGGTGTGTGGTGTAAGAAGGCTCAAGTGCCAAAAACTAATTGAAATATGTTTCTATTGCAGTTTCCAAATTGCAGTTTCTATATGAAAAGGTTTAAGGGTTCCTAAACCTCTTTCACATAGCATAGTCCTGGTGTACGTTTTTGCACTTTTTTCACTTTAACGGATACTTAATGGTAATTGTACAGAGCAAAATTAATTATCCCATTTTGAATAACGTTTCTACTAAACGAAAAAAAATATTTCGAGTGTCAATCAATCTTTGTTTGATCTTTATATTAATGGAAATTATGATATTAGTCTAATGGTATTGCATTTACCATGATGAAAAATTCGTAACTATCCATATCCCTGTAATAAAATATATAAATATAGTAAATTCCGCTAGCGGCTTCGCCCGCGTGGTCTTGTATTATACATAACAACCTTCCTTTTGAATCAATGAAAAAAAACGCATCATAATCCGTTGCGTAGTTTCAAAGGTTTAAGCATACATAGATATATAGAAACAGAGAAAGTGACTTTGTTTTATACTATGTAATATATTCGACAGGAATTCAATTTCATTAGGAATAGCACTTAAAATAGCCCCAAAGAAAAAAGTCTTCACTAAATTTAGGAGTCGACCAAATCTGTTGCGTAAATATTTAGGAATCGCTTAAAGTGAAAATGCATTTCACCCACACGATATGCCTTATTCTTGATAAGCAAAACGGGTTTAAGATGTTTAAACTGGCAACTCTCACCAGAAAACACTCTTTTAAACTGTTTCATGCACGGTATTATAGCGATTGATTGCTTATCTGTTTGTATACTAACGTCTACTTCACAAATGTCAAATATGTTGAATAGTTTTAGTATTAATTAATTACTAAATTATTCCTAGTTAGTTAAGAAAAATTTACCCAAACTTTCTGTTACCGGAAGAAATAGTCGGAAATCTATAAAATTTAAATCACGTCGCAGCCAACTCGTGTTCCAGTGCCAGAACTCCGCACTGGATACTGAATGTTGTAAACCTTTAGTGTTTCCACATAGTAAAGTAACAGACAATCTCTTTACAAAACTTGCACATTTTTCACACGAGCTCTCTGTCTATAATGGACCAAGAGAGCTGAATTTTTACACAACAGCTATAGCTATTTTAACTATTTTGTTCAAAAACTAGCTTGAACTCTTACTCGAATGCAGAGCTGTAATTTCTTAAAATAGGTTTTATCCTGATTAATTCATAGTTTTAATCGGGATAAAACCTTATTTCAAAGGGAAAAGGTTCATTATTTGCTGGGTGCGAAGTAGGAGGTGGGAGAACACGAATCGATCGCAACGCGCACCGTGGCTAAAACGGAAACTCTGTCGGACGAAATGTCACTTTTTACTTAAGAAATTTGCATATTTGTGCATTTTAAGCAAAAATTAATAAAATACGTCACGGTACCTCCTGTGTAGGTGGCTGCAAGAACAATGGCAAAAATAGTGATAAATTTTTTTATAGATTTCGTCGAGTGAGTTGGAAACAAGAACAAAATTACTAAGCTGTAGCTTCACCAAATAGGAGTATGAGTACATATAAAAATATGTGCTCATGTTCATGATCATGTAAATTACATATTTTTATATTTATCAGTTACGTAAAAGTGTCATTTTAAAGAATTTCTCATATCAATTTACCTTTTTTTATTGTATCTAAAATATTTTTTTTCTGCCACATTTTGTATGAAATCTAGTTGAATAATCAAATTTTAGTGTCAAAGTTATAGGTATATATAATCAAGCAAGATGAAATAGTTTTAAGGACAATTTATTATTATTTTTATATAGTGAATATCTGTAGCCTTCGAGAAGTAGTGATTATATTTACAATTTGAAATTTTATTGTTAATGTTGTAGATAATTGTGTACCTACTAGTAGTATGACTTTTCTATTCCATAATTGATTGTGGCATTTTAGACTGAAAATAAAAAAGATCAACAGTATTAACGACACCTTAGGTTTACATAATCGAATAAAATCTCAGTAAATTACGCTATTTCAATAAAATTATTGTTTGTTTACTTACTATTCGTACTAAATGCCAACCATTTGACATTTCAATGTCTGACATAATTGTAACCGCTAGTTGGCGCTACCATCGTGCACCTAGCGAATACTCGACCTCTTTAACGTTATTACAACAAAATAGCACTAAAGTAACTACGTCCTTTAAAAAATGGAGGTCACTTATTTCGAATATACAGAAAACTGTATATTCGAAATAAGTGACCTCCATTTTTAGATAGACGAAAGACGGCAATGAAAGTAAAAACTTTCATTGTCGTCTTTCATCTATTAGAGGCCCTGAACACATTAGGGTAAAACCTTATAACCATTAAATAGCATTATTTCGTTAGAATAGTCAAAGAATGTGAATTTGCAAAATTTAAACTTTATTTTTATTACTTTGCATTAAAAGTCATGTTATTTGTGGTTTGCTGTGTGACTTGCTTGGACACTTGCCCATTGTGCCCAGTTGGCCAAAAACATATGTTTCCTGTACTTAACTTTTCTATGAGTGTCGTATTGTTTCAGACTGATGAAAGAAATGACGGAATTCTACAATTCAAACCATTTTGATATTACACTGGACGATTTGAACAAGCTCACCTACTGTGCCTTTTATGATGAGGATTGTTTTTACAGAGCACTGTTTTTAAAGCTTATAGAGGTTAGTAAAAGAGGAAACACCGATGCCGAAATAAAAATCTAATTTGAATTAAAACAAAATGGATCTAATGTTACTCCGTAACCACATGTCATCAAAGAAATATAATAATACTCCTGAATACTATCTAGATATACATAACATACCCTCCAATCCGCATTGGGCCAGCGTGGAGGGTCATGGCTCATTCTACATAAGGAAGGCCTGAGCCCTTGCAGTGGGGACGTAAAAGGGCTGGTGATAATGATAATAATACATAACATGCATCTCGTGTCACGATGTATGATATTATTAAACTCCGAAACTACTGAACCGATTTTAAACAAATTTCACATGTATCTGTTATTAGGCTAATTAAAAAGAAAGAAATATGGTGGTAATTGAGTTTATATATCAATTGCTACCATTTATTTATTATTCATTAAACAATAATAGTGTTCTTTTAATGATTAGTTCTATACATTCATCATAGAGGGCGGTATTGGTTAATTTGCTTATAAAATTCTGCAATATCGATTGACATTAGATTAATAAAGTTTCTGGATTTCGTTTTTTAAACTTGAGTTGTATAAGCACGAGGTAGTTGTTTCGATTAGATCACAAGTAGTAATAAATAAGCAACTAATTTTTACTCTTTATTGTTTTAAGAGGTTTAGTTATACTAAAATTACAAATGGTTTGATTAGAAGGCTATAAATAAATAGCATTTTATTTGATATCGTCAAACTAGTAATAATAGCACCTAGCACCATTTCTCAATTTCACTATAAATATATTGTGTACCAGGAGGACATAACTTTGGCGGAGGTATTCCTAGTGGACACGGGTGAGGTGCGATCCGCGCCCGTTACTTGCGTGCAACCGTTAGAGCCCCGGTTCTGTATGCGCCCACCGTATGCGCGCTGCTGCCATCTAGCGGGGGTGAGCAATAAACTTAATAACCAGGAATTCTGCGATACTCATCCTAATATTTAGTTTTTATAGCTATCACTAGATGGCGCTAGATTTTAAAACGTGGCAAACGCATTGGATCGTTGTTTAAGCAGATAAATAAATATAATAATATTTTAAACTGATAACGAAAAGAAAAGTTTATATGTTTAGTGTTTTTCTTTTTTTAGGAACTTTCGTTTTTAAAAACATGTCTGTTCCATAGTACTTTATTAGTTATTTTGTATTTGGAGGCTATAAGTATTATAGAGCGCAATAGCGAAGTCCGGAAACGTTTCCCTAGTCTGCTCTGTACTATACCAAATGAGCAGTTTAACGAAAAAAAATATTAAGTATTATTATCGCCATTATGCATAATATATAAATGGGAAATATCAAATGTATATTTGGAACTCTTGTATATATCCGAATATTTAATACCGATTATACAACAGGGTCTTTCGAATGCTAGTTCGCGTATTCTGTTGAAGTTGCTTGCTGCTGCTTACACATTATTCTGCAATACTAAGGCAAGTTCACAAAAGTAAATCGTACCGGTGATATTGGATATAACTGTCGATTTAATTGCGTTGCGTACAATTAATGTTGCTCAATTGTTCATTGGTGAAAGATAATACTCATTACTGAATTTTAATTCAACATTCAGTTTATCTCTTTTATACGAATTAATTAAAAAATATTGTTACGGCATGTTACTATACTACGGGTTTTTCTGGGAATTTTCAGGTCTATATCGTATACGTTTTAATAAGAGATAAGCCGAAAAATGTTATTAATTCAGTATATATATATATATATATTTTATTAGTATTGTGCTCCTTAGATGCTTTATTAATATAAATTATGCCTATGTAGAATTGATAATTTGTCTATTTTTTAAAACCAAATAGTTCCACTACATTTTATTATTATGAAGGCATGTTGTAAGTTTCTGGACTTTTGTATATTCTCTAACAATTTTTATAAATATTATAGATTCTATAAATCGGGGGGGGGGGGGACTCTCTTCCGTTACTGGAGGTTTGTCAAAACCCCTATAGTGTACCCTCTTCTTAGGAATTAGATATTGAAACTATGGTAGAGTCACAAGGACACTCACCCCCAAAAAAAATCAGCCTCATCGGTCTTCTTTAGAGAGCTCTTAAATATTTGTCGCCAAATAGTCATTTTCCAGTATTGCAATTGGTATTCTATTTTTTTCTCTAGAAACTTCCAATGTACCCCAAGAATAAAGTCTTCTAATTTAATTTTGTCTTTTTTATTCATTCATTTATTAGTGAATGCTGCTTCAATAACTAATGCTTGCAATTTGTCTTAAAACTACACGAAAAATGCGTTTCTTTGGAGTCGTATACCGGCAATTTCGTTTTCGGAGAAATAAAATAGGCTTTCAGGTGTCATGTTCATTTGTACGAGTAAGTCCGTTTTTCGTCTGCTCTTGAAAAAAGTATATAAATGTTTACTTAATTAAATTAAACATTTGAATTATGGAGAGTTTCATCATAGAGCATCATTATATATAATAATAATAATTTATTTGAGTTTGAATAGGTTATACAAAACAGATGTAAAAAAAAGTAATACAATTATCGCCTATTCTTCCATTAGCAATAGCATGCAAATGTAGTCAAAGAAGCCATTATAAGCACTGATCAATCCACCCCAAGTTAATGTTCAGTATCCATAGTCTAAGAATTCATGCACATAATAAAAGGAACGCTCAGCAAGCCAGTTATATAACTCTTTCTTAAATCCAGTAAGAGGTGTGTTCTTTATTCCGGAATCTTATTAATCTGGGCAATAAATACCCTTTGCACATCTGTACCGTTGCCCCAAATAATAATTGCATAACGTAAAATTGACTTCACATAAGCGAAGTATACTGGGAGAGCTGTACTTCTTGTCGCTCACTACTCTCGATAATTTTAACAATGCAAATGAGAAGCTATTCATCCCATTACAAAAGATTTCTGTATGTTGTTTCCAATCTAGTTTCTTGACATTATGCCTAAGAATCTAACGTTATCAGCTTCTTCAAGCGTGCATTTTTGGTATTTCATAATTAAGTAATTAGAAATTATATTATTAAAATCCATGTAATATGTCTTGTCTATATTTTTTGTCAGATTATGGCATTCAAGCCATAATAACTTTACGCAGATCTCATATTAAAACCAACATGGAGTAACCATTTTATCTTTCAGATTGAAATGCTTAGCCACCAGAACAAGAGTTTGATGGCGAAACAGGAGCTTTTTATGAAGGAATACGTCGGCATACCCTGCACCATTGAGGTAGATGACAAGTAAGTTACATGTGCACGCTGCTCGACAAGTTACCACAATAAGTCTAATTTCCACACTTTGGTGAGATGGCCAGATTGGGAAACCATAATATTTTCATTTTGATTTTTGCGATTCTGTTTGATAACTTATTCCGTTAGGATAGGATGCTCTACTCATCACTTTAAAAAATTGACGTGTGTACTTTCTTTCCCTTTTTTTACATAAACTATTCACTTTTACACAATACAAAAGCAAATGAAATAATTGTAAACGAATAATTTACACAAGTCCAAAAAGTAATGTATATGGTCTTTGTTTTGATATAACAATTGACAAGACCAAAGAGTAAACAAAACAATAGACAACCCTTTTGAGTTTATAAGTCGATCAACGTTAAAATACATCTATTTGTGCTGTTCTTGTCATGTGAAATGAAATGAAAATGTCTTTATTTAAGTAAGCTTGTTTCAAGCACTTTTGAGTCCTCAAAAAAATATGTTTCCCCTACCACTTGTTCAGGACGTCTTAAAGCTGACAAGAAGAACAAGTGAAAGAAACTCATTTACATAAATCATGTCATTGTCAATCAAAACATCGTTATAGAACAAAGCAAAAGCTTTTAATTCCATGCATGTCGTCCGTCTTCTTAAAATTGTTAGTAATTTTATTACACTGCTACATTAAATTGTCAATATACACGTTGTCATCTGAATACGGCAGAACTATACACCCAACTGACTAGCGTATTACCATTCCTACATACGTTCTAAAAGATGGATAATCGGCCGATTTCGTGATTAAAATTTACCTGGTGAACATAAACTTATTTTATAGCTGTTTAAACAATGGTAACAATTATAACCGACAATCAGTGAAGTCCAGACTTAGTTTATTCCCATAATACAAGTGATGTACGCCACTGTATTTGGGATCCGGGCACTTATTGTTATGTAATATTTATCATTCTCCGATTGGACGATAAATTAATTACACATTTTTATTATTGGGCTTTACTGATTCACAAAATATGTTATATTTCAACAGCACTTCAGAATCCCTGGGCGTCTACGTTATACTGCCATCGAAGCAGATATTGAATGACATTCTCGTACAAGAAGGATTGGCGCTAGCAAGTAAGTCAATCGTGTTACTAGAGTAAAATAATAATTCCGATTCAAAACTGCAACCAGTTTTTGTTTGTAAACTCAAATTGTTTTATTTTGGATATTAATTGTTTCACTTGAAATGGTGGCAGAGAAGTAAAGATCAAAGTTTCAAGGTGTCGCCATCTCAGGACCCGGATTCGATTTCCGGTCGGATCAATGTAGAAAATGGACTGTTTTTATATTGTCTTGATTCTAAATTTTTTGTGGTGACCTTCGTTCTCAAATACTCTATCAATGTGTGTGATGTTTTCTAAAATTTATTCCGTTTATTTAGTTGATAGACCAAAACTGGAGATGCGTCAAGAAGTTAAAGGGCCTCCTGAGTTAGTGAAGAGTGAAAGTGAAATTGATATCACCAAATGCCATGAGTTCGAGGATCCTGTAGAAGCAGTAACGGTATGTAGATAGATTTAAATGGCGACTAATGACCTAATTCAGTCGGTTGTCTTATCAGCTGTCACTTGATTATTTCTTTGTTATATAAAAGTCCTTAAAAAAATATTTAATTACGAGTATTCTTCAGCAAGGCAAGCCATGATACAACTTGTTTTCTTTTTAGTTCTGGTAGCTAAGTATGTATATAAATTATACATTAAAGATGTAATTTTAATATAAAAAACCTTAAACCCTTCTATTTTATACAGTCATGTAAAATAGTCCAATTGTTTCGGAGAAATCAGCTATGATAAACGAACAGACAGACAGATAACTGAGTGAGTGTCCCGGGAAACCCGCTTTACCTCTTATAAGTGCGAAATCCAAAAAATTAAGTTTTAATATTAAGATTATCAACATGAATTACAGAATTGGTAACTTACCAGAAAGGGTCAAGTTAACAATCTCTGTCAATGCATTTTTTCTATCAGGGTTATTCTAATCGTGACGAAGCAGACATCTGTAAGCATTACAAGGGCGGACCTGAAAAGACTTGCTTCAAAGGGTCAAGATGCAACAAGCGGCATGTACTTAAACACCCGGGTATGTTTTCAATCCTCACTGATCACGAGAAATACCTTTCAGTTTAGAATGTTCAATTCCCAAAATGGCCGACGGTTTCAAATTTTCCAATCCCGAAATGTCTAAGATAGATAGAAAAAAAAGTTTATTTCTTATCGCAACACACAGTTACATCACTTACATTTACACAATAAAAGAAACAAAGAAGAACAAGAAACAGAAATCTACCTGTCCGCAGCAATTGAGAATAGGGTCTAGGCTCGGTGCACTCAAATCACCTAATGCAGATGAAGCACCGATTTTCAGCTATCACCCTGAATGAGATGAGCGGGGACAAAATATTTTGTTTTTCAATCAAACAAATGAATAGTATTAAGAGAGACATTATGTCAAAAATTCATACAAATAGAGGTAAAAATAGTAAAATATCGGGGGAAAAAAAAAATGGCATGTCAAGTATAATCACTACATAGTATAAAACAAAGTCGCTTTCTCTGTCCCTATATCCGTATGTATGTTTAAATCTTTAAACTACGCAACGGATTTTGATGCGGTCTTTTTTCATAGATAGAGTGATCCAAAAGGAAGGTTTTTTGTATAATACAAGATCACGTGGGTGAAGCCTTTGGCAGAAAGCTAGTTCATAATAAATGATAATATTCTGTTAGAAATCATATATACATTGGTCAGAATAAAGTCAAGATTTTAATATTAAGTGTCCAAAAAGTAGCACAGGAAATTTAATTACATACATCTGTAAAACATGAGCGTCTTTTGTAGATCTTTACAAATGGGTTCTAAGTCTAAGTTTAAATGTGTAAATGCTAATCTACTAACATGATAGTTTATTGAATACACGATTTAGGAAATAAGTTGATTAAGTCCTAATAAGCTTTTTAAATATTAAATTTATCATCAGCCCTTTTTACGTCCCCACTGCAGGGGCTCAGTCCTTCCTTATAGATGGTTAAGGAGAATGGGCCAAGAATCTTCGCGCTGACCCATGCAAAATGGAGGGTATTAACGACGACAAATGCAATCGTAACCAACGGCTTAACGTGTCTTCCGAAGCTGGAGATAAGAATTCTTTGTTCACCCATCTCCTGATCGAATCTTGTTAAAGTTATTTAAAAACACTACGCCACTGTTACATTTAACCACCTTGCAACATATACTTTCATCTGCGTATTCAATTAATCCATTATAATAGTATTATACATTTCGGGAAAACAAATTCTATTCTATCAAACACAGACATTGTACAAGCCTGTGCAAGATTTTATATTTGTATATGATTTTCCATCTCATAAGAGTATTTTTAATAAAACTCCATCTGGCGATACGTTGAGTAAGTGATGTTTTCCAGACGGTTGGACTTTAGATCGAGTGGAAGTGCCGGTGAAGATAAGATCAGTCCCTCTGCCCGCTCCGGGATCTTTCCTGAAAGTACACGTCACGTACGTTTGTCACTTTGACAGGCTCTATGTGCAATTCGTCAACGAGGAACCTGGTATGTTTCATATTAATATTCTAGAATTAAAAACAAAATAGTTTAAAAAATTTATAAGTAACGCAGAGCAATGCATTTAAAGCAGAGCGAACAACAAACAGTATTATACAAAAAATAATTAATCTCTGGCAGTAATAAAATAGATTGATAAATCAATCATATTAATGTTTTCTTTTTCTTTTTTTATCCAAGACATAAATTAGAAAGTGTCTATATACATGATCCTACTTGTACTATACCCAAAGGTCGGTGACTAATGTTTGGGGTTGTTACGTATTCATCTTGTGATGTCTCATCCTACACATTATTTTTTCCTTACTCAACCTATTAATGTTCTTTATTCAACCCGCAACAATTTATTTAATTTTAAATTCCATATTCATCCCATCAGTATTTCTTTTTTAAAAACACCTAAAAATCTAAGATTACTGCGTACGGTCTGAACAAAAGCATTATATATAAATATTTTATCTATATTAGTTCTTGTTCGATTGTTATTCTGTAAGAGAAAATGATATATAATATTTCATAAATTTTGCATTCACGATGCTTTATTGAACATTTTATTCTTAACGAAAATGGTTAAAAAATCCACTTTGTCCATGGCACTTCGAGATGGGATTTGTACCCATGACCTTTCGCAATCTGGGCGATTGCTCTAACCGCTGAACTACCCAGGACCTAACAGGACTGACGAATTTTTCAAGCACTTGTTACTTGAAATTCAAATATAATAATTAGAACAAATTTTCAACTCTATCGAAAGTTTAAATATTTGTAAAAATCATTCCCATTACAGCATTGTAAATGCAAATTGATCAAATAATTTTCTTTACAGTAAAATATAATTATAACAATATTTTTTCACACTGGGGAATCGAATAGTTCGATAACGCAGTGAATAGCGTGCTTAGTTTGCAACTTTGGCAAAGGCACATTAAGCCGTTGGTTGTCGCATCTGCAGTCGTTGGCATCCACCGTTGGGCCCGATGGTGGGTTCCATTCATGTGCCCAACATTGGGGATATTAATAGGCTAATGTTGTGATCTTGTTCTCAGATGAAGTGGTGCCCAACTTTGGTGTAATACTGCCGCCGACTTCTCTATCATCGTTGGTGCGCGATATGAACAGTCCCGCAACCAAAATGGCGTACAAGCCGCTCACGGTTTGTTTAATTTGATATATTATTTGTGATGGCGCCTATACCAGCATACCTTAAGCGGGGATATAATAAATAAATATATGACGGCGTATTGTTAAACTTCGTTAGATAAAAAAATATATTGCCATTTTGGTAGAAAAGCGTTATTATCGAAATATCCCAATTTTCGGAATTGGGCACCAGCACAGTATCTTTTGAATTAAGAAGTTTTTAACTTCAAGAGCCCATAGAACTAATTTATATAGTTATTCAGCTAAACAAAAACGAACGATGAAATTAAATATGCCGCCAAAGTACGTGACTAGAGATGTGACATTTTAAATCAATATTGATTTTGAGTAATTATTAGTAACTATATTCAATTACTAAAATCGATTAACAATTTTTTTTTTAATAGTTGCCTTTTTTAATAATCGTATAGTTTATCAAATTGGTGAAATATAAATAAAAGCATAGAACATCACATAAATTGTAATTTATTGTAAAATGTAATTGACATAAAACATTGATTTTACATCGATGTTAACTTTTTGTTACAACGAAATCTCTACATTTTCATCACACCCCCCTGACAATTATTTTGCATTTTGTTTTGAGTATTTTGAATTTATAACCGCATTTTTTGCAATTTTTTTAAGAAATTAATTTCAATGTGATACAATTTCAAAACAAATTACAATTCCAGCTAAAATAGAACTGCAATTGTATCGTATGTCACTTTGTAGAATAGGAAAACCATTAAAAACCGTAGTTTCCTACGGTTTCGATCCGTTTTCGATTCGATTTAAACAAAATGTATTTAGTAGAATTGGCCCCTGTTCTGAGTCGACTTTTTTTTGTACAGATGACGCCAGCAATAGGTGAGCTGGTGGCAGCACTATATCCCCCGGACAATCAGTGGTATCGGGCCAGGGTACTGACGCTCACACGGGCCGATCAGAACGTAGAGGTAACATGACATAAACACTGATGCACACTTATAAAGTAACTAGTAATAAATCTCGAGGAGTTTTATTTCTAAAATATTATTAAACATTTGCGCAAGAAATAATTTAAAAAGTTTAACATAAATTGAGGCCGTTAGCGCAAAATTGGCTTATTGGCATATTCGTATTAAATGTAAGGTAATTTCGATAGTGATAAGTCACGAAATTACACATCGTAATAAACAGAGATTCTAATAAACATAGATTTGAGTCTTAAAATAGCAAGAATTAAAAGCCGTGATTTTTTGAAGAAAAGAAGAAAGAAATATACTGTGCCCGGAGGTTTATGCTCTATTTTCTATGATAATTTTATAAAGAGGAAAGATTTAATTGTTCGTTTGTTTGCATCAATTTATTACACCGATTTTAAAAGTTCTT